AACTGTCATTTATGACTTTTAACATTGTGTACCACAAAATACTACCCCGTACCAGGGTGATATTGAATGGTATTGTGTGGTATTTTTTGTTCCTGTAATTTGTTCACCCAGAAATTTGTAGATCCAATAGATCATGATGAACTCAACCCTTCTGTGCAAACGTTTTCAAAAACGAATTAAAAACGAAGAAAATACCATATGGTATGCAATTGGTATCGAGAGGCCAATATTTTTTTTTCTCAAAAAATATTGAAAATTGATCTCGGTTTGTAGAGCACGATGAACTCGTTCCATCTGTGCAAAAAAAATTAAAATCCGAATTAAAACGAAAAAGATATGTGCCGATTAAGAAAGCTAGGGAAAATAAAAATGGTTTTTAATTCTTCATCCTTAAATCTAATTTTTCTAAATAAAGGGTCCAAATTTGGCTATTGATGATTGCATAACCCATAGTTATGCACTCTATCTTGAACTCTTATGAAATACTAGCTTATAACCCGACCCGTTGGTCGGAGGAGCTGAGCAGAATATTGAATTATTGGTATTGATGTATTAATGTTCTTGGCTCATGTATATTGTGAGGGCAACATCTCATTAGTCACTTGTCATAGTTGGTAATGGGATAGGAAATAAGTGACATGAATTTGTTTAAGGGTTTAGTATAACAAAGAAGACTGCAGAAATGAGACCTACTTCGAGTTAATTAAACTAAACATCTAGCAAGAATTCTTTGTATCTACCAGGTAGGTGAGGACAACACTTCAATTCGAATTGGATAAGATATTTCCAGGGGTAGTCAAGTACATTATAGTTGAAAAAGTAAGTAGTAGAAAATTAAAATTTGGAAGTCAAATAAAAATTTAATTATTCAAATTAAGATGAAGACTAAAATGTTGGTGAGAATCCAAATGTAGCTTATTTGCAAACTATACAGGCATGAAACACACTTAGAAAGAAGAAAAGATACTATCTATGTCCTTCTGGTTTGTTTTATCTTTCCACCATAGTGAGCGTTCGCAAGAAAAAAGGGGGATGACAATAAAACTAAGGAACCTTGTGGAGCGATGGTGCTATGGCATCAAGTTTTTTTTTGGAGTGATTGGAAGATGTGACAAACACAAACAGTCTCTGACAATAACAATATCAACATCAATGTTGTCAGTACTTCTATGTAGTGATGGCCTAGGTGGGAGTCCAATGGTGGTCATAGATTGGAAAGAGGAATGCACACTCTCGATAGCCGTCTGTGCTAAAATATAAAGTGGTGAGAATGGTAAAGAAAGTATACATGACTTTGTCTTCATTCAAATAAATCTTGTCATAGCTAATAAAGAATTGCAATGTCAAAAAAAGGATGGACTGTAATCATTACAACCTCCAAATAAAGAATTTCATCAACTGCCTCAAGCTTTCACGTGCCTATTCTCTAGTCTAATGATTTATTAATGGAACTATATAAGTACTACATAGAGAATATATTCATAACAACATAAATTATATTCATTGTTCTCTAGATCCACACCAGTTCCACGAAATGTAGCTACCTAAGTTGACCTGAAAAATAAGCAAAAATGTCCACAGCCAGGTAAGAAAAAGTTGCATACAGACTTAAAGATCTATATGCATAACCAATACAGTCAAAGTCACACTTTAAAACTTTAAAACTTATGCTTTTACCTTTTTAGGTCACCAAAACGCTTCTACATAGAATGGTGTTTTTCCTTACAAATGTAGTCAAAATCTACGCTTTAAAACTTAAAAGCTTACAGTTTTACGCTTCTAGGTCACCCGACCGCTTCTAGGTAGAATCGCGCTTTTGAATGCATTGTGCATAACCCACGTCACATGAATCCTCAAACCCTCAAAAGTTTGCAGATAAGAAAAGCAACCTTAGCATATACATTCAGGAAGGACAACTAAAAAAATAAGAAAACCACTTGCAGAGGAGCGAAAGGGATAAGCTCGAGGAAGGGGTTTTCTTCAAATAGCTGCCTATGAATATTTTTGTAATTCTAAGAGGAGCAACTTTATACCAGTAAACTACATGAATGTCAATCAGCTAGATCAATTCCACTTGAATAGTAATCATTAATCAAACTATGCATTGGGTCAAATGATATAATATTCATACTATTTCTATGCGGCTATTTCAAATAGCTGCCTATGAATATTTTTGTAATTGAAAGAGGAGCAGTTTCATACGCCAATCAGCTAGATCAATTCCACTTGAATAGTAATCATTAATCAAACTATGCATTGTGTCAAATGATATAATGTTCATACTATTTTTAAGCGAAAAAATAGATAATTGTCGAAAAAATTATAATATTGGACTCACGGGGAATTACGAAAACCCACTTCTATATGAACAGCCAGAGGGCAAAACCCTGATGACCTCGGAGCCAGCAACTAAACCGAAGGCTTTGAAGAAGGCAGTATAACCCTAACTTTAACTACAATCAAGCACAAATTAACAATATTTTCAATTTGTCTGAGAGCAACTACGCATAGAGAACAATTGAAGCATATTTGAAATGCTCCAAGCAAGTTGAAGGCAAACCATAACTTTAAGATTTGGTCATTATAATAGCCTTCAAGACTCAAGTATTGATGCTTCTGAGAACTATCATGCCCAACTCCCACTTATAAAACTACGTAGCCATAGTAGTTATTGAATAATGAAGAAATTTTACAAAGAAAACTACATAAACAACCAATGTGAGTAAATATTGAAACTAACAACTGATAAAACTTAAAAGCTCTCTATTGATTTAAATGTACCTCTTAGTAACTACAATGCAATCAAGTATAGATGATTTTAAGGTGGTGAATAAGAAAAGTATAGATGACTTATATATGAAGACACAACAGCTGAAGGTAGCACACAAAAAGCAAAAATAGAAAAAGATAAGCAAAAAGGCGAGAAATAGCCAGGCAATGGAAAAGCTTGGATAGGAATACCTTGCTAGCTCTTGGGACTGTCTGTCACAATAAACAAACCTCTAGAAAATCCAAAACCTTGAGACATCAAACAAACCTCCCATAACACTAATGTATGGCATGCCCATTTTCCAACAGGTTTGTCCAATTTAAACTTCAAAATGAAATTCAAGCATTGAATTACTTCTAAATAAATGAACTTTTCACCATTAAACCAAAATTCATAATCATTAACAGTTAATGCAAAGAATACATTTCTTGGGCCAATTACAACATTTAACTAAACGATATAGTGGAATGGATTCAATATGTTTCCTACTAATAATATAAACGTATACTGATACCATCGTTGTACCATGAACTGCAATTTGAGATGAGTTACTTTGTAATACAAATGCATTTTATAAACACCCATAAGGGCGTTACGAAACCAAGTTGAATAAAAAAATCTTCATATTCCACTTCGATGGTTCCATTTCAAAAATAGGAGAGTCTAACGTGTCAAATCACTCATTTGACAAAATCTCAAACCACTATCAATCAATGTAATATAAAGGCAAGTAGCCCAAATTTTGTACTTTATGGAATAATCCCAAATCATTATCAATTAATGTCCCAACTACATGATGTGCAGAATAGCTCTGGAGCTGTACTGTTTGCGTTGGTCTACCTTCAAACATAGCCGTGTCACGAACCACAGCAATTAAGCAAAAATCTGCATATTCAAAGTAGAACGACGCAATTCAATTTGGCCAACGCTTTATACATACCGGTTACCCCTCGCTCGACCTGTTGCACTTGCTACCTTCAAATCTTCGTGAACACAATACAATTGAGGAGATGAGGTTGTCAATGGAGTGGAGTGTGTTAATTAAGTGAATCATCATATGACTGAATAAACGGGGTCTTCTTGATTTGCTATCAAAACGGTAGGGGTAGCTTCAATCCGTCAGTTGCTCCATCTACGCATTCTAGTTAGAATATGTGGCATAGGTTGTAGAGATTAGGGTTCAGTGATAACTTTGGAACAGGAGGAGAGTAGGTTCATCGGGGAGGAGACCCGGCGAGTAGAAAGGGAAGCTTTGGCGAGGCTGCGATGGGTGCATGATTAGTGGGCCAAATCACTGTTTGAGTTATTTAAATCAAAAAAATGTTTTTACTTTCGTGCTCAACAGACCGGCTGCACTGACGCCTTCTAAATTTACCCCTCCAAAATTGCTTTGGGTGCATCAAATTAAATTTGAAATGGGATACCTCATTTCTCATTTGACCTTTATATTATGTGTAGATTGTGAGAGTGATGAGTGTATATGTAGACATGTCATTGTCCTACAAATTCATTAACACACCAAAATATAGTGAAATGCCACCTATTAACTCAATCTCGTATAATGATCGTTGGATTCAATCATGCCAGATTAGGAAGATGTTTAAAATCTAGTGGTTAACCCGACTAACACGTTAAAAGAACCAGTCTCTTATAGTTTGCACAAAGATATGATTGTTTCATAGTAGTTCTGAAAACTAATACTAATTTAAGAAGTCGACATTTCTTCTACATATTTAATATTGCAATTTGATATGCAATATTCGAACCAGTGATATTTGGATTGTAATTTTAGGGTTATCATATATTTATAAGATAGATAAAAATTTAAATTAATTATTAAAATACAATTAAATAATCAAAAGATGAAAATCCAATTATCAAAACACCAAATAAGTACTTAGCGGAGATTCAGTGGCCAGCTAATCGTTGAAAAAAGTCATATGATTTTCAGATTTTAGATTCGTATATGTTTTTAATTTAAAAAGATACAACAAATATACTTAGTGTGATTGGTTATGATCCTTGATTTTCTTTAAATTGGTCATGGTTCGAATCCCATTACGTGCCTTTTTTATGAATAAAAAAAAAGTAATTGTAAAGACCAAAATATCCTTCCTACTTTCACTCTCGTTGCAGGAAATTTGAAATGGAGCAACAGTTTTTCCCTTCCGGCTATTATATATTGTGTAGATGGTCAATTTTATAATTTTGTTTGGCCATATCAGATTGTAAAAATAAAAAAAAAAAAACATGACGGAATGACACCGTTTAGCTGAAATCCCTTCCGGCTAAGAATAAAATGTAAAACCCTGGCGAGCTGCCGCAGCGTCGTCTTGGTCTACTCTTCCAGCAGCAGCCGCCCTTGCAGAAGCCCGCGACTGAGAGAGGGAGACAGAGACAGAGACAGGGAGGCAAGGTAAAAGACGACTCAAACGGATGTTCTCTTCTTCGTCGACGCTAGATTTTCCTTATGGGATTTCTGTGATTGTTGTTGTTATGCGAATCATTGAGCTCTTTTGTTGATTCCTTAGAGTGCCTACGGACGAGTTTTGCTGCTTTAGCCATTTCCGAGCGTTAAAACTGTTGTTGTGAATTTCCGGAGTTGGGTTTTCGCGGCGCTAATAGTGGGGTTATTTCTTGCTGTTCTTGTTTGAGAATAGTTTCTTTTCATTTTGATAATATATGAGCTATATGGGAATTGGGGTTTCTGTTCTTGTTTCTGAATGCCCTTAGCGTATATGATTAAGTTGTTTGAATGCTTTATCCATTAGTAGTTCCTTTCCTTCTGGTTTCATGGCATTTGTTGCTATGGCTGCTGAGATATTGATAGCTTTTCTTTTTTTTTTCTTTTTACGTTTATGAATAGAAATGGCTGATGTTAAAGCAGCAACAGTTGTTCCTGAATCCGTACTGAAGAAGACGAAGAGAACCGAGGAATGGGCTGCGGCTAAGAGTCAAGCTCTCGAGGATCAGAAGAAGACGAATGCTGAAAATAGGAAGATTATCTTCAAGAGAGCTGAGAATTACGCCAAGGAGTACTTAGAGCAAGATAAGGAGCTCATCAGGTTGAAAAGGGAGGCAAAGTTGAAAGGTGGTTTCTATGTTAACCCTGAAGCCAAGCTTCTGTTCATCGTCAGGATTCGTGGGTAAGCAGCTATATCTGAGAGTATGCTGCTCAAATCCCTTTTTATCACGCGTTTCGAAATGACTGAATCTCCACTTTCCCTTGACAGAATTAACGCCATTGACCCAAAGACGAGAAAGATTCTGCAGCTTCTGCGTCTCAGACAGGTTGTGTTTTGTTAAGTTAGCGAGTTTTGTAGTAGACTTGTAACAGTTAAAGATTACTGAAACTAGTGAATCATACTCTGTAGATATTCAACGGCGTGTTCCTCAAGGTCAACATGGCGACAATCAACATGTTGCGCAGAGTTGAGCCTTATGTGACCTATGGGTAAGGGCTGAGACATTTTTTTAACTAGTTGAGAGGTTGCATGGTTGGTGTAGTTTGAACATCTATCTAACATGTGGAAGCATTGACGTGTAGATACCCGAATCTGAAAAGTGTTAAGGAGTTGATATACAAGCGAGGTTTTGGTAAGCTGAACAAGCAGAGAATTGCCTTGACCGACAACTCCGTCGTCGAACAGGTAATGTTTTGCTAGCAACCCATCACTTGATCTTTAGGTGGTCAATTACCATACTGTCACTAAAATGTGGGGATTACTAACTGTTTTCTGAATATCTGTCTTTAACTAACTTACTACTGAAGTATGAAATAATTAGGAAGAAGTAGTAACACACACCACCCCGCCCAATGCTCATCAATGCCAAGTTCTCCGTCCATATTGTCTAGTTCTATAGAGGGACTAACCAAATTAGTAATGAGAAAAGTGAGTGACCCTTTAATTAAGCTACCAGGTAGTAGACGGAGAAATTAGAGAATTGGCCATACCGCCAGAGTAATCATTCTGGCCTGGATTGAGGAATGTGCGACGGGACTGTTCTTTTAGTGGCTTGAAAAGTATAGTAGCCGTTTATGCAATTGACCTGGATCGTTCAGTCCTTATCTTGCCATGTATACCAGTTTCCTGATCTTAGCCAACTGCATTATCAACAGGGCCTGGGAAAATTCGGGATCATCTGTGTCGAAGATCTCATTCATGAGATCATGACCGTGGGACCTCACTTCAAGGAGGCAAACAACTTCCTCTGGCCGTTCAAGCTGAGCGCTCCGTTGGGCGGTTTGAAGAAGAAGAGGAACCATTACGTCGAAGGGGGAGATGCTGGAAACAGGGAAGACTATATCAATGAGCTCCTTAGGAGGATGAACTAGATAGATTGATTCTCTGTGTTTTTCTTCATGTTTAGTAGAGATTAAAGCGGTAGTTCTTTGGGGGGTTTTTTCTTCCGAGGTAGCTGTTTGTAAGAGTAGATCAATCGTTTTCAGTTTATGGTAGCACCTGTTTCGCTTTATCTTCATAGCTCAGAGCATACTATGTTCATACAATTTATTGGGAAAAAAGAGAGGTGCATTTGAGTTACTGGACTCTAATCGTTGCTAATTTCTTCCGCTAAAATTAAGTGTAAAATCTCTAAGAACGTTTACTTACAGTAGAGAAATAACTAAGTTCGGCCTATTTGCTTCTCAAAACAAAGCTTCGGTTCTCTTTTACATGGCAAAACTACAAAATCTCTGAAGCCGATAAAAGTCTACTAGGAGACTGACAAAATTAGTTATCTCTAGCAGGTAATCATTTGTTGCTGCAAGTTCTCCTCCAGATATTGCCTCCATGCTTTCAGCGGGCTCAGATCTCCGACGCTAGACCCGCCAACCTTAGCTTCTAGGCTTGAGAACAGACCTTTGGCCGCGAAACCCACCAATTCAGTGGAGTCCCAGTATGCAGCCATTCTTGAAGAAACTCTGGCCATGAACGATGTGTCCCCCATTCTTGACTTCTCGTGAGTACTGCTGCTGAGGATTGTTTGGCCGAATCCTTGCTCTTCTGAAGAATCTAGGGCATACAAATCTAGGTTAGTCGTTGCTCTTTCGGGCATTCCTGCGTTCTGCAGCAGATGTAACTCCTGTAAGGCAAGTTGGTCAACTTTGGCTTTCATTTTCTGCAGTCGATGGCCAATTCTGGCAGCAACTGTGTCGTATAGCTTTCCTCTGGCGAGGTCTTCTTTTTCGCTTCCGTTGTTTGCCAAGTCGTCAAGATAGATGGGGTCGCCGACTAGAACAGTCACCTATGAGTAAAAAAGGAGGGCAAATAGAAGAGTGAACCGTGGTGATCACAATCAGAATCTTTCATCTCAAGTTACCACTAGAGGGCAAAAATGTGAAAGGATATTCTCAACAAGACATACTACAACCCAAATGGATCCTGAAATATTCAGGCAACCTTGAAACTGAAACTACAGAAAACATATGATGCGGGTCTCTTTCCCTGCATATTCACAAAAGATTCCACCATCTTCTGGATGCAAATAATTACCCACATTCCTTCAACACAGATATAGAACATTACTCTCTGACTATTTGTTTCGTTAAAGAAGAGTGGAAAAAATGAAATTTCCTACGAGAAACCAAAGTGAGAGTGTGGAACAGTTGTTAAGGAATAAGGAGCTATATTACCGTCAGCCCCTTTCGGCTCCAAACATTTACTTGCTTGACCCATGGAAAAATAAGTAAGCAGCAGTGAGACAAACCAGATTCTTGCACAGAGAAAAAAATCCACTTACCGTCTTTCCAATCTTTGGAAGGCTAGCTCCTATCGGCATGATCTCTTGCATTCCAGAGTGGACAAATGGGACTACAATAGGGAGCGTGTCAGCGTCGAGAACCAACCTATAAATATAGAAGACAATGGTCATAAACTTTCTGAACAATGGAAGATATAAGAATCGTATTCACCGATGATAACGCAGCCAGACTCTGAAGAAGATAGCCATTTAAGAACTTGAGGATTTCACAGCTTAAAATCACCGGAAACAAATGGATAATCATAGATGCTCACCTCCCAACTCCTCTTTTAATAGAACCCATAGTTTTCCCACCATCCCTCGAACGACTACCCTCTGGAAAGATGTGAACCCAACCACCGGTGTTTAGCTTTGCAATAGCTGTGTCCATACCCTAAAGAGTGAAAGCACCAATTTGCCAGAACAAGCACTACTAGTTAGCAATTTACAAATGAACATCTCTGAGTGACGGCATCACTGATACCCTCCGCAATTGATCACAAACACTTTGCAATCAGTAAGTTAATTTGCCTAAGCAACCACTAAATAACCAAACGGTATCTTCTACTATGAAAAGAGCGAAAGCATAGGGGGTTCAGCATAACTTTTATTCCACAAACTACACAAGCTCCAGTCATTAGCAAAACCACTCATGAATCTCTAATTGGCAAGTTAGTTTCCCGACATAACACGTTAATAACAATGCAGACTAGAACTATAAGAGCAAGCAGTGTATGGCACCTTCTGATAAACTCCATCCCCGCGAGTGAGAGGCAAGACTTTGACAGACTTGAAAAACGCTGACGTGACCGGATTTCTAAAGCAACGATCACTCGCACAAAGCGTCCACCTCAAGTTCTGGGTGTCCATCAATACTCTTGGAGGAAGTAAAGACGCAATCACAAAGGGATCATCTACAGCAGCAACGTGGTTGCTAACCTAAAAAGTGGGGCAAGATACAAGTGACTAGCTCAGTTCACAAACCACAAACAATCAAATCCAAAGGAGGAACGGGGGACCAAAGTTATACCGTGACAAGAGGCTTGTTCTTGGGCCTCTCAAGCAATGCCTTGTGCAATTTCTCCAGACCATAAACCTGCAGCACCAGAAACTCACCGAAGTTCAATTTCCTTCCAGCTCCAAACACAAAGGGTTCCACATAACAATTATGAAATCCAGCTGAATAGGCCAAGTACCTGAACGCGATTAAGGCCATTCATGAACACATAACACATGTTCCCAAACAGCGGAACAGCCACGGCCTGAACCATTCGAAGGATCATTGATTCCTCCTCGGCATTGAAGTCCTTGCTCACTGCCAAGCCAAACAAAAACAAAGAACAATACAAAAAACCTTACTACTCTGTGATTTCCGCTCTGCGCATTCGCCGAATAAACTGAGGGTAAACCCTAACCTCTCTTGCGGTAGAAAGCGGAGGGAGAAGCTAGGGACTCGCGGCGGAAGTCACGGAACCTGGAGATCAACCTTCCGACGGTGTCGGAGAAGTATCCGTCGGGGAACGCCTCGCGGCGGCGGTGGAGGTGGCGATCAACCGCGACTCTGAAGCGGTCCCTGAGCCGGAGCTGGAGTATCCGGGCCCTGGTCTTCCACAGATCCACACTCTCGATCCTCTGTACGTTCATCACGAGGTGTTCCGATTTCCTGGTGTGCCCGTGAGCGAGCATTGGCCGGTGAATTGAATTATTTCAACGGCGGAAAGGTTTGGCGACGGAAGCCGGAAGCGGTTGACTGAGTGATTTCCCTTTTGGTTTTTGGGAGAAGGCCGAGCTGCGGAAAGGAAGGAAGGGAACTGTGTATGTAAAAGAAAAAGAAGTTTCTGCACCTTGTAGAGAAAGTCGCGACTCCCGAGGAAAAAAGGGTTGTAAGCGCTAACGTGCGCATTGGATACTTTCCGGTTTTGGTCTTTTAACATTTGGATAAAGCTCAACAACGAAACTGTGCCGTTTAGAAAATATCCGAACTGTGCAGATCTTTCGCGAAAGTGCTACGGAAGGCATTGGATTTGGTGGGTTGCGGGCTTGCGGCTAAACTAGTAGCTGGGCTTCAGTATAAAAAGGCTGTTGGTAAATGTCACTGGGTTTTCTCATAGAAAGCCCAGTTTACCAGGCGTGCTCCGGTTGGGTAATGGGGAGATTATATCGCTATGGATGAACTGATTTGAAGTTGTTTCATCAAATTTTTTGATGTGTTTAGAGCAATGTGCATGATTAATGATTGTATATAGGTTTGAATGTAGGGATGGCAATGGGTCGGGTTGGGGCGGGTTTTGTCAAACCCAAATTCAAACCTATGGGTTTATCCACCAAAAAAAACCCGGGGTAAACTCTGCTGGGTTTGAAAAACTCAAACCCAAGCCGTCGGGTATCCGCGGGTTCATGGGTACTCGTGGGTTTTTGTGGTAAAAATTTTACAATAACAAGTTTCTTTCAAAATAAAAGTTTAACATCAATTTTCTCATACAAATTTCATACAAAAAACACAAATCTAGAGCATACAAGCAAACCGCAAATGATCAATACAAATTGTTCAAAATTAAAGATAAACATCTATAAACAATAAGATTAATTGAAAGCTTCTTCCTCGTCAACTAATTTTCTTCACTCTCCACTTCATAATATCAACTTCATTCTAAACAATTAGAAAGAATAAATTATGCATGTCTCCACAAACATAAAGAATATTAGTTGTTTAAGAAAGATATATTATTTAGAATATTAAATCTACCGGGAAAGTAATTATATGTGTGTGGGCGGGTACCCATGGGATGGATTTACCTAAACCCAAACCCAATCCGACCCAGTGAATAATGTAGTGGGTTTAAACCCGAACCCGGCCCGAAACCCGTCAACACGGGTTTTACCCGCGTTGACCGGATTGGGTCGGGTGGGTACCCGTGAGTTCGGGTTTTATTGCCATCCCTATTTGAACGTGTGAAAACTTGGATTTTTTAGTATAAGTCGGTTGAAAGATGATCAATCATGTGCTTTCCCACAACCAAATTTAACATAGAATTGAAAAATGGTTGTAGCTTATAAAGTTTACGTGTGAGGCACTGATCGAGTGATAAGGGAGGGATGATTGGACGACCTTAACTCCTTAAGGAGGTCCTCACCAAGCTGAATAAAAACAACGTGTATACAGCCCACTCTGAAACAATTGTATGTATTAGACCCTAAGGATGTCCTCGCTCGCTGCAATGAGGGCAACTCATGCATATAATTGTTTCTGATTGGAATATCATGTATAAAGGTGATGTGCCTTGGACCCTACTCAGAGTTGGTTAGAAGTCGTTCAAAGGTTGGTTATCCCTAAGCAGTGGCCTCTCCACATGGGTCGAGGTATATGTAGGGGAAAAGAAAGCAAAATGCATAGGACCTCTATTGCCCGGTTAGAAACACCAAAAAATTTAAGTTGTTGCAACCTAAAAACAAAAAGGAATAAAAGATTGTAGGGGAAACGAGAAAAATAACCGTAAATAGCATTCATTCGGCTTATAACCTACACCGAGAATCCACTTGGGCACCACACACCTATCTACCTTCACTTGAGAGCATTGCCCTTCGAACTTCTCGTGAAATTAGACTCACCAAATCGAGAATTATCTCATCGAAAGCTGCTAGAACGTTGCCACCAACTCACTCCTAATGATTCACCTTGCATACGAAAAATTAGAAAGGGTCGAGTTGCACTACTGAAGCACATCTTTGCTTAGGTCAAGCAAATCTCAAGTGTGGGAGATTTGATAGCACTTAATTTAGGCATATTTTAAGACCTATTTCTTAGGTGTTCAAAATCCATACTCCTCATACTATGGCCATTTTGACTTCATATTGTGCTATATATGATTAAATATTGATATCCTAGGACTAAGTACGACTGCTATCGATCTTTGGCCATTTGGCTCGTAACTTGCTCATTCTCATTCTATTATATGTTAGGTTGTATTTTCTGTCCTAATTTTAAGTCTTGGCATGATGAGGGAGGCTTGTGCCAAGTTTCGAGCCATTTGGAGATACTTTGAAGGGTTCAAAGAGAGAAAATTAGTAAGTTTGGCGGCCAGCTTGGTGGTCATCAAAGGAAGGGGATGATCTCGATCGTCAGATGAATTTGACAACCGTGAACTTTTGTTTCAGGTCATGAAATTTTGTTCCAGGCTATAAACTTCAAGTTCACTACCTCATGTCAAAGTTCACAGCCATGAACTTTTGTCACATTTCGTGAACTTGTCCTTTCCAAGTAAAGTTCACAACCTCATGTTAAAATTCATGGCCGTGAACGCTAGACCGTAAGTTTTGACATGTGAAAGACCTTATAAATAAAAGGGGTTGTTTCTCATAAAGGGTGCATCATAGAAAGAGAAAACATTTGATGTGAAGATGTAGAGTGAGAGTGATGACTAATGAGCCTAAAGAGTTTTGGAGATATTTCTTCACCAAATCAACCTCAAATTCTTTCAATATTCAATATGGGTGGCTATGTCAAGAAGGAGAATATGGAACTAGCTCTTTGTTCACTCTTTATCTCTATGTTCTAACTTCTCTAAGTTGTTTAGGAAAATAAACTCTCTATGTTAACCTATTTCATTTATCTATTGATGGTTATTCATGAATTCTATATGATTATGTTGAGTATTTTGATTTTGGAGTTTCTTGACCTAAGAGAGAGATCATCTAATTAGGTAAAGAACTAGAAACGCATATTAATAAAGTGGAGTTATCATTGCATGAACTTTGGGTTGCAGCTTCATTTGTTTATGTTTAAGGAGTATAACCCTAATACTCTAGGTATCTCGTTGGTTACATGACCATTGAACCAACCTAGTTATCTGAGGGTGATTAAGTGCAAGAATCATTGACTTAATCACTAATCTAGATGATTCTTTGCAATTTAGAAGATAGAGAAGCCTTCATTGACTTACATTCAACCTATGTCAACTTATAGCTAGAGAAATTCAACCTAAACAACAACCTATCTCTAGTGATATCTCTAGTAGTTAATTTTGGTTCGTTTCATGTTTAGTAAGATTATTCCACATTTAAACCCAACCATCTTTATTGATTAAATAGTAGTTTGAGAACAAGAATAGTTAGTATTGTTGATGAGAAGGCTATATCCATTCATTCGTAGGAAAGGAAATCATCCCTCACCTCAAAACAAGAAGAAAAGTGAGACCAATGAAGATAAAATAGAGGGCACCCAACCCAATACGTCTATAAGAGTATAAGACCGTGCATATAACTTTGCCTGATTCACATCTTTTAGAAAGCGATTCACCAGAAAACTAACTTGTTACTCGCCATGTCAGCTATCAAGCTTATACATCACAAATTTAGACACGAATTTGCGATATGTAATCAGAATGATATTCAGGTAATCAACGTAACAATGACCATCAAATTATATCTTCTCCAGGCACTACAAATGACCAATGTGTTCTTTCTTTCCCTTGTCTGTCAAAAAACCAATAGCCAGCTACTGAGACCTAAAACTTCCAGGATATTACATGCTCTGGAGGCCATGGAAGTTGAGGAATCGAACTTGTTTACAGGAAAACAAGTACCAGTAAAATCGGACCGAAAACTAGAAGGGATCTGGGATTTTGATGCCAGCCAGCTTGTCCCATTCCTCTGGAGGCAAAATGTCTGACATTATCTTTTCCTGTCCGCGCCACAGAATCTGGACGATTTGCAGAGCATTAGAGATCAAATGGATGAGCTAGATAAGCTTGAACATCCATGGGATATCAATATGTTGTTTGTTTTGGCTAAAAAACTAACTTGAAAGAAGAAAGTTGAATTAAATCCAACCATCAACTCCATTTTTACTAAAATCCAACCACACTTTTCCTTGACTTCAAGCCAAGCGAAAAAGGGGAAACAAATCACCTACTATTTAGCAAAGCTGAAAACAAACACACCATTTCAAGTGTGGACTTACTTTGTCAATGACACCAAATTCTTTGGCTCGTTTGGCATCCATGTAGAACGGTCTTTTCATCACGTTAGCCACGGTCTCCACGGACTGATTGAAGATAAAAGTGTGCAATCAATTCCCAGAATATTGCTCAGCACAGAATAGAAGAACAATTGAGAAGGAAGAAGTATTGATTAGTGAAAGCATACTCACGTTTTCGGTGTGTTTGGCCAAAAGCTCAACCAGAGTGTCTCTGTTTGATATAGCCTGCCGTGATGAAACATGAATAGATCACGAATTGTAAATTATGCACAAAGTTCGTATTTATCTTCCCAGATTCGAGTCTTCCAACAGATATAGATCATCAAACGAGAGTGACTCTGTTCGTTATAGCCTGCAGAAGGCGACGCTCCATTTCTAAAGACATGACTACTTAAGGCATGATTCCCAAACCAACCTAAAAGAGTCCCAGCATATCTTCTATGAAAGTTCCGCATCTTTACTTGTAAGAGATCATAGGAACCTATGGTTCTCTAAATGAATTTGAATTGTTTCATCACATTTTCTTATCGCCTCTATACATTAATCAAACATAACAAATTGGCCCATCAAATAGAAGGAAAGCAATAAAGCAAACAAGACAGAAAACATAAGCAATATCAGCTGTTTAACTGCTGACCAGAGATTAAGTGGATCCAACTAACCTCTTTCGCACGGATTAGAACATCACTAGCAGGCATCAGACCCGAAGATGGGACTTTCGGCTGTTGAATCATTGCTGAAATGAAGGTCGACCCAATAATCAATTAGATGAGAGAACAGGTAGCTCAGAACTGGGCAAGAAGCACAAGGATAATAACCTTTGGCATGCGGCATCATAAACCGCCTTCCCTTTGTTCCTGCAGAAAGCAAAAGACAAGCCTGGCCAATAGCAGCACCAACAG